CTCTTCCAATCCGGTTGATTCTATGATCATGTCTCTCTTCTTAGATGGTTTCCAGAGCTCACTATATTTCTCCTGCTCCTGACAGGGGTAAGCGAGTGCTGCTCCAGTGTTAAAATCCCCAGCACCCTTTCTGGCATATAATAAATATTCAGCCTTGACTTTCTAGCAGAGACCGTGCCTGCAGTATGGGTTTATCCAGTGCAACACCGCCCTCCTATGGCACAAGGTCCTCAGTACTCCTTAGAGCACTGTGCAGGACTTCTATCAGTGAAGATGCCACTTGAATGTGGTGGTTTTTGGGGGACTTCAGAATGCTGACTGAGTTTAGTGAATAGCTGGACTTGAACACCATCAGAGAGAAACAGATATCTTACTGAAAGAAACGCTGCATTTTTAATTTGTGTCGCAAATGCCTTTTTCCTCAAAGAATAAAATATTTGCTAGCTGATGAGGCTAAAAATTAAAACCTAAAACATCTTTTCCTGCTGCTTATAAGAAATGTCTTCTAAAGGATATTCTACTGTTGTTCAACCCCCTTGCAAGATCTTTAAAAAAATGTTGCAGATTCAATTAATTCATAAATGTTTCTCCTCCAGGTTTCGTTCTGCTATCTGAACCTAATACTATCTTCTTACATGAATGTATGTGTGCATACAGGTTTCTTGGCTACAGCATGTACTTAGGAAGACCTGCGCATTCTTTCCTTGCTTTATGGTGGCACCATCAAGACATGACTAGCAGGGACAGCAAAAAACCATTCTCAACAGACAGAGACCACCCAGGGCATTTGAAGCGTAACAAGCAGAAAGAGCTTTCTTGCTGGAGCTGGCCTGTATCATCCTTGAAAATGTCCTGTAATTCCATGCCTCTCCTTAGGTTTGATTATTTTTATTTTTCCAGACAGGCAAGCTTGACCCACATTATCCCAAAGTATGTGGGCACAAAGGGAACGTTCTGGACATCAAGTGGAACCCATTCAATGACTTTGTAATAGCTTCATGTTCAGAAGATGCCACAGTAAGTTTACCAGCTTGTACTCTGTGTTACTACCTGGCTAATGTGCTTTTTGGGGAATGAAATGAAAAAGAAACCAAAAGACCCATGGATGAGATGTGAAAGCATATATATATTTATTTAAGAAGTCAGGTAAGAGTAAATTTCCTTTCTTTCTCTTGAGTTCAGTCCTGTCTGATCCCTTGAGATGATACACCAGATCAGTGTAAGGAGGAAGATCTGTTTTGCAGGGGTCTATGCCTTTTCTGGTGTGTTTGCATGAAAAGCAAGATATGAATTTAAAATGGAATGATTTAAAATTTAAGTACTATGAAACTCTATCTTTAGAATAAAAGCTTCAATGCAACATAATCTGTAACCATTTTTTCAGACTTATTCTCTGCAGACCAAGTTTGAACTTGTTCCTGCACTCAGTTATTCTGTAAAGTCTTGCTGGATCAGTTATGGGGTAGCTGAGAAATCTGCCTCATACAATTCTGCAGTAAGTGCTTTGGCTAAAGTTAGTATGATTAACATGCTGTCACATTTATGAGTTGAAAGATTCAGTTCATGTTTGTGAGGTTCAATTGAAAGGTCACTTTCAAAAGGTCTGGCCTAAAGTGTGATGTTGACTTCTGTGATAGTGAGGACATCTGACTAACTACTGTGCTATTTTCCAGAGATCCCATATGTGTTTTCTCCCAGTGGGTGTATTCACACTCTGCCACACAGCATCAGGGAGGTTTCCCCTGTCATTTCCTCCAGCCCTGGTTTGGTTCACATCCTCTGCCATTTTAGCTCTGGCAAAAAGTCACTCTTGAATGTAGGCTTTTTGGATTGTCTTTCATGTTTAGTGACTTGTTATTGGTGGTTTAGATACTCCTGTGTTTTTTGAAGGCTTCTTTCAGTTTCTGGGTGACGGTAAGAATTTTATTTTGTCTTCCAATCCATATGCCAGGTTTTCATGCTGTCTCAGGCAGCATAGCATGGTGCGGCTTACTTGTGGCAGGAAGGCACCATCTTGGCCACTCTTTTGAGCCTCATATGATGAGTGAACAGAAGCTTCAAAACATCCCACCACACTTACAGAGTCACAGCACCATTTGTTTTGGAAGGGAGATTGTGTGCTCTCTATCCCCACCTCCTGCACAGGTTTGTGGAGCTGAGTCTTGAAAATCTCCAAGAATGGAGGTTTCATCACTTACTGAAGCAACCTGTTCCTGTTCATTACTTTTCCCATGGGGAATTTTTTTCCTTATATGTCATGTAGTTATTGACCACCTTGTCCTGTCTTCCTCCCCTGTACTTCAAGACAGAGCTTGGCTCTATTTTCTCAGTAATTTTGTAAGTATTGAAGGTTCATATCAGTTTGCCCTGAAGCTGTCTTCTCTGGGCTGAGCAAGTCCGTTGTCCTGAGCTTCTCCTCACAGGGCAAGTGCTGCAGCCTTTTGAGCATTCTGGTGGCTTCCACTGGGCTCACAAGTTTATCAGCATCTTTCTTGCACTGGGAGGTGCAGAACTGGATGCAGTATCCCAGCTGTTGTTTAATTATTGCTGAGTAAAGGGGAAAATCACTTCCATCATCTTGTGACTATATTCCTGTTGTTCCAGACCACGATGTTGCTAGCTTTCATGCCTACCATGGCATGTTGCTCAGTCATGCTTATTCTATTGTCCACCAGGACCCCAGGGTATATGACAGCTTTCCTTTCCAGTTTTCTACTAAAACTTGGCACTGGATCATTCTTTAGAGTAAAGAATGAAAACACTGAGTTTGTCACTGGTCTCAGCACCAAGAGTTGTTCTAAGAAGTCTGTCTGTTTGTGACTATAGTCTCTGTTTTTGGTACAACTCTCCCATTTTCATCCTGGCATCAGGAAATGGTATCTTAGGGGACCCTTGCACAGTGACACAGTGTATAGACACCTCTTCCCTACCTGCTAAGTAGTGATGACAGCAGTCTGTGTTTCTTAGTGTGACTGTCTTTCGTGATACTTGGTAGGTAGACTTGCACAGGTCCCTTAGTCTAAGGCCTTGACCAGGCTTAAAAGCCCAGTTGAATTGGGTTGTTCCAAGACTTGTTCAGATGAGTTGGGAAGGTCTCTAAGGCTACAGATCCCATGGTCTTACTAGGCCCTTCTTCCAAATGTTGAGTACCCTTCCAGGGAAGACAGGATGCCTCTGATCCCCACGGATTTCCGTATTGCCATATATGTCCATTGACTTTAGTGCTCTCCTTGTGCATCTGCAAAGAGTCTGGCTACATCTTCTCTGTGCCATGCTGCAATGTAGTTGAAGGGAAGCCAGAGCCTGAACAAATTATTTTTTTTGCAGCTCTCCTTAGATTTGCTGTGCTCCTGTCCCCTCCTCAACTCAGTGGCAGCTGTTGGACTCAGTGTATGGGGTCAAGAATGAGCCCCTCACTTAAAAAAGGACACTGAGGCACTGAAGCGAGTCCAGCAAAGGGCAGCAAGGCTCATAAATGGTCTAGAACACATGTTGTACAAGGAGCAGCTGAGGTATCTGGAGGTGTTTAGTCTTGAAAAGAGGTGGCTTAGGGGTGGCCTCATCCCTGAAAGGATGTTGTAGAGAGGTGGGGGATCATCTCCTCTGCCATGCCTGCAGTGAGAAGACTAGAGGAAATGGCCATAAGCTTAGACAGGAGATTCAGATTAGATATTATTACGGCCACCACTGTTAGGGTGGTCAGGCACTGGAATAAATTTCCCAGGAAGGTGATCTCTTCTATTGTCTGACACTCCACTGTAACCCTTAAACCCTAAAACAGGTTTCCAGCGCCAGGTCGGTGTATTGTCTTCTTGCATCACAGGAGGACAGAACATTTTTATCTTCATGCAGCATCCTTCTAGAAGAACCCAGAGCTGTAGGTAGACCTGTTATGAGACAGCACACACTCAGTGTTGAGTGACTTCAGTGTGGTATTGCCCAGTCTCTCTGCTCAGGGCATGTGCCTTGTGGCCATCTGTGTGGTGTTCTGTGTACTTTGACAAACAGTTATGTCATTTTCAAAGCATTCAGCACCAGCACAGTTTTCTATGAGACAAACATTACTATAGCTGTCATGTGACCAGAAGAGTTCTCAGTTCTTTTACTGGATAGTGTTGAGTGGGTCATCAGGACCACGATGAGGAGGGCCAGGAGAGCAGGAGAGGATTGATCTTGGATCAATCACTGCTATAATATAATAGAATCAGAGAATGATAATATCTTCTGGAAATCAGATTTGCTTGCCTCTGCTCAAAGTTTGTTAGAAGACCAGGTCTGCAAGATCTGTGGTTTACTTCTTCCCCTTGGGAATAACTTTTCATAATGTGCTGACCAGGTCTAAGGGTTGGATTGCCAAGTTTATAAAAATGCTGGTGGGACTGCTGGCTAAAGATAGAAAGTAAAGAGGAGTCTTCAGGTCCACAGAAGAGTAAAGATACAAATTTCAAGGACTGGCATTCAATAAAGCCAGGAGCATTCATATTCACTACAAGGGGAATAATAACACCAAGGCAGTAATAGTTATTAGGAAGTTCCAAATCAGCTCCCTACTCAGGAATCTCACAAAGACCTGTCCTGTGCCATTCAGGTGAAAATCTGGGACATCCCCAACCAGTTGCTAAAAAGAAACATTACCAGTCCGAAGAAAGAACTTCTTGGGCATGCTCGAAGAGTCGGTCTCATTGAATGGCATCCCACCAGTGATAACATCCTCTTCAGCTCTGGCTATGACTACAAGGTGGGTCTGTGCTCTGTGGAACTCTCCTCCTGGGACAGCCTGTTTGGCAGGGTGTTTTGAAGTTTGTTTTAATTTCAAGCTGTAAGATGATACTGAAGAGTTCAGAAGCTTTCTTCAGGGAGAAATTCCATGGTGACCCCAAAGACAAAAGGACATTGCTACAATTTCAAACGGATTTGCTAATTTTCCACTCTTCTGATCAATTTCAGTCCACTCTGCCCTCCTCATTTACTGAGCTGGATACAGTATACAGTGCCATGCACTTCTGTTTGGATTTATTGTTCTGCTAGTGCAAATATCTGCACTGATGTTGGCTAATTTTATGTATAAAATGTAGTTGCGAAGGAAATTAAAATATCAGGCACTCTCAGCAGACACTGATATATTGCTCTAAGTATCAGGAATTAAGGTGCTGGAGAGCAATCACTTACACAAACATGTATAGAAAACCTCTAAGTATAGAGACAAGAGGAAGAAGTGAATAGGGCACACAAAGTCCCTAGTGGGTCAGGTAGCAAAGAGCTGATTTATCTGTTCTTTTGCTCCAGATAATGATCTGGAACCTTGATACCAAGGATGCTGTCATCTCAAGGCCAGTGAAGATTCTTGACACACACAAAGACGTGGTCCTCTCCATGTCATTCAACACAGATGGCAGTCTCCTTGCTACAGCCTGCAGGGACAGAAAGATACGCGTGATAGACCCTCGCGCAGGAACAGTCCTACAGGTAGGTTGGGTTCAGAGGTTTGTTGTCCAGCTTATCTCATGTCTTGGAGTGTTTCCTGTCCTGGATAGATTCATTGCCATAAAAGATGATGCATCCGTATCCTGCATTGTGCAAGGCACTACATGGTGCTATTGCCTTCTACTTTCCACAGAACTCTTGCTGTCATTGTTGAAAACAAGGGATTTGCATCTTGCTACCATGTTCCTTTCTCCCTGAGACACTTCTTGAAGTGCACTGTTTTCATAGCTACCTGCTGCTGTCCTCTATGGGACACCTTGGGAGGGCTTGCAGAGATCAGGTGGACAAGTGGATGCCAGTGCAATTTGTCCCAAAGCCAGGGTTGTTCTTGTTGCCTAGACTTTGTATCTGTTGGTAAGGTGAAGCTGGCTGCATTTTGTAGCTATTTGCACAGATTTGTGTACACATAAAGTCCTGCTTATAAATAATGGGGAATGCCCTCCTTCAAATATGTAAGTCAATAGTTAGAGATGTTGATTGGGCTTTTGGGAATGGTCCTTCAGAGTTTAGGCCACCTTTCTCAGATCCCCATGAAATCCTGCTCACTGTAGTTCAGCCAGGCTGAGCAGATCTTTCAGATATGAATGAATGGGAGTTGTCACGTAACATGAGATATAGATATGCAACAGGTGCTGTCTTACTCATGCAGTGCCCTTTCTCTTCCTATAGGAAGCCAGCTACAAGTCTCACAGGGTCAATAAAGTCTTGTTCCTTGGAAACATGAAAAAGCTGTTCTCTACTGGAACATCTCGGTGGAATAATAGACAAATTGCATTATGGGATCAAGTGAGTTGGACCAACAGTCTTAACCATACTGGCTTCAGTTTTCTCTCTTTTGCTGTCACTTTAACTTTTCAACCTGCCAAATACTCAGGAATTGATTTATAATAGCAATGCTAAAGTGGTCTGTCAGATTCCTAATGGGTGATAGGTCTTGCTGCTATGACATTTAACTGAGTTTCTGAAGAAGCTTTCAGCATAGAAATCCACCAGAACAATGTTGTGTTCATGTCCTGGTTTCAGCTGGGATAGAGTTAATTTTCTTCTTAGTAGTTGGTACAATGCTGTGTTTTGGATTTAATATCAATAGTACACTGATGTTCTGGGTATTGCCAAGTAGTGCTTATCCTAAGTCAAAGAATTTTCAGTGTCTCATGCTCTGCCAGCATACAGGTGCATGAGAATCTGGGAGGGAGTATAGCCAGGACAGCTGATCTGAACTGGCCAGAAGGATATTCTATACCATAGAACATCATGCTCAACTGGGCTGAGTTGGCCAGGAGCTGTGGATCGCTACTCAGGGACTGGTTGGGCATTGGTCAGTCAGTGGTGAGTGGTTGTCTTGTGCATCACTTATTTTTCATGGCTTTTATTTCTCTCTTTCCATTTTCTTTTCATGACAATTGTTGTTATTGTTTTATATTTTACTCTTTTTTCAATTATTGAACTGTTCTTATCTAAATCATGGGTTTACCTTTTACAATTCTCCACCCCACCAAGGGGAAGTGAGTGAGTGGCTGCGTGGTACTTAGTTGCCAGCTGGGGCTAAACCACAGCAGCAACTACAAGAATAAATCATTTAAAGGACCTCTATGTGGTTGTTGTAGCTCTGACTTAAAAGTGACTCTTACTGGTCTTACTGGCAAACTGGTCCTGGAAAGAGAAATGAGCTCTAGACATAGCCTACTCAGAGGAAGCCCTCAATGGAAAAAAATATGTGGGGTGGTTTTGATTTCTGATGATTCCTGACAGTAGAGAATTGAGGTAGCCCTTAATTGGTCACTTCTATGACATGATCTCCTATCACGATGGCTCCTAGCCTTATGAAACCCTCCTCTCCTCTACACCTCTCATATCCATTGAGATGTTTTTACTTTGCCAGGATCTCACATTGTCCTTCTGTGTCAACGACCATGCAGCACAATCTTTTGCCTCTTTGTAGTGCTGTCACTCCTTATAACAGACAAAGCTGGTAAACCAGACCTATGATTTGCCATTTGGCTATGTTTGGACATGTCTTTTTTGTGTATGTGAGAGCCAGAGCACTATGCTGCTGTCTGAAGGCTTTCCACAATGCTGAGCAGTACTGTGACACATCATGGATCTCACATCAGGGTTTCACTGCCTTCAGAGTTGCAAGATGAGCTGGCCACACTTAGTTTAAGAACACAGTGGGAAGATCTGTGAGGCCAGGTATGTGCAGCCTCCTTAGGAACAAGCATTGGCACAGGACTTACCCAGCATGCATCATTCTGAGGTCCACATCCACCCATGTCATCATTGCATCTAAACAAAAGCTCTGGTTTTAGAGAGCTTGCAGCTGGACAGTTCTGCAGGACAAAATATGTATTAACTTTATGCTAAATACATATTTAGGAGAGAAGCACCACATGGCAGCCATGGAACCTCTCATTGCTTCTCCCAAAATTGCTTCCTTCAGCAGTGTAGGGATTGCTTTGTACAAGATATGCCAGCCTTGTGTATGGAGTGGTGTGCTATGTCCTCCTACACCTGCAAAAGGCCAGTGGGAGGCTTTGTCTTTGCAACAGGCACCTTCCCACTGTGCAGTGTGGAGACTGCTCAGCAGACATAGGCTGCTTTTGTGGTGGGTGGTGCACTTTTGTGAAGGTATTGCCTTGATTAGAGGTTTTGAGAGAACCTCTAGTAATGAGTAATTCAGTGTGTGATGCAGATGTTCCCTGTAAACCCCTCCATCTCCCTGAGGCTAGTGGCCCACACAGAGACAGGCAGTGTTTCTTACCATACCTACCCTGAATTGTCATCAGGTGTCTGAGATCTTCTAGTGGTAGGAACTGGTGTCCTGCACTCAGTCAAGGCCTGGCATGGAGCACCTATTTTCCACCCACAGAGCTTTGAAGAAGTCTGTATGTAGCCCTCTGCTCAGGGCCATGGCCAAGGGTCATTACCATGCTGTGCTTACATGCTGCTGCCAAGTGGGGTTCAGGTGAGATGTCCCCGACTTGAGGTGACTGGTGGTGATTGCAGCTGACTCTTTCCTGTGTCCTGCCTAGAATGACCTTTCTGTGCCTTTACTGGAGGAGGATCTGGATGGCTCCTCAGGACTTCTGTTTCCCGTCTATGACTCTGACACACACATGCTCTACGTGGTGGGAAAGGTAAGTGCTTTCCATGTCAGCAAATACTGGCCTGTCTGATTCTGCTCTCAGCTTGTGTTGCGTCAGGCTGAAGTCAAAGATGCTCCTGAAGTGTGCTAATCTAAGGATATGGGCAGATGTGATGGGGTCAGAGGGTGCTGCAGCATCAGGCCACATTACCATGTTTACAGATATTCCGTGTTTACTATGGAGAGGTACACTGCAGAGTACTAACATTCCCATACAGGAATTTGAGGGTAAACATTTGGTTCATTCTTGATCCTACATGGCTTCTGGGGACAGGCATTCTTCTCAGACCCTCATGCTGAACACAGAGTCTGGCTGACATTGATTTTCTTTGCCTTTAGGGTGATGGAAATATACGGTACTATGAGATAAGCCCTGAGAAACCATACCTGAACTACCTGATGGAATATCGTTCTCACTTACCTCAGAAGGGAATTGGTGAGTGACAACATATATCTAATGTTACAAGAGGATTGTGTCTTCTTTATTTAGAGGCTGTCAGAGCCTAGGACTATCCAAAATATCATTTAGAAAAGGGAATGGGTCAGATTCCTCCACCCAGGTTTACACGTGCACAACAGTCAGCTTGGCCCAGCTTGCCTATGTATGATGGGTGGATTACAGGGTCAGAGCTTGGAGGAGTCCCTTCTGGCCAGCAAAGCATGGGTTGGACAGCTTTACCAGTCTCTGCTGTATCCCCCTTTCACATACCTGGTCAAAGTGGAAGGGAGGATAATCTGGATTTAAATGTGGAGACCGCTCCTTGCCATTTTGAAGCTGCTGCTGCCACTGTGAAGCTTTTGGCATTAAAATCTATTTACATTGTTCCCACTCTGTGATTTCTCTGGTAACAGGTGCCTTCACTCTTTATTGCTTGCCTACCTTCTTTACTGACATTTCCCATTTAGAAATAGACTGTCTGTGATTAGCTCACATCTCCCCCATTGGAGACCCTTGCTCATTAATCTGTCCACATACTTTCCAGTTTAACTAGTTCAAGCTACAGAATTTGGCTTTCAGTCCTCAGGGCCTATTGTTAGCCCTTTCTTGAACCTTCTCCAGTCTACCCTATTAGTCATATTCCTCTATAGACTGACATGTTTCTAGGATTATTTACCACCTCTCTACACTATCTGTTCTTATAGGACATCGGTACAGATAATTGGCAGCACTGGATTTTGTTCCTGCATGTCTCCTTCGAAAAAATTAAAAATGGAAAGGGATAAATTATTTAAAACTTAACTGGAAGGATCTCTCCATTGTTCTTTTTTTTATAATATTTCTAATGCACTACATCCTGATTTTATGTCATCATAGTTGCTTTAAAAATCCTTCCATGAAAAGGAAGTGTACAAGTGTTTTTAGAAGGCCTGAATGAATCAAGTCTACTTCCCTATCCTGCTTTGCTCTGCTGACCAAACATACTGGTAACATTATTGCTCAGAACTTGTTTCTCAATATTACCAAAACAAAGTACTGTGTAAATGAGTGGAGTTTAGATTCACATTTAGATAAATGCATAGTGTAAGAAGCAACAGTCCTTCACATAGAATCTACTGTTTAATGAAGTAATTGGATATTAGTACAAAACTAAGCTTCTGTAGGACACTAGGAAGCAAGGTGTTCAAGCACAGGGAATCTCTTTTGTTAAGGGGATTTACATGGATATAAGCTTTGGAGTGTAAAAGGTTATGGGAGAGAAATCCTCTGAGGTTATCAGGTACTAGAGACCATGTGTGGCTTAGCCAGTCCCTAAATCACAAGTGGTATGACAGAATACATGTTCACCTCCTTCTCATACTCCATTCTATTTTAGGATGGTGCTGGGGGAAGATACTGAGCTGGAATGCCTTTCAGCCTGACCCATATAGCTATTCTGGTGTTGTTTGGGTGTCCTGAAATCTCATCCTGGTGATCCTGATACTCAAATCCTGTGGCATCACCTGCCAGTTCTGCTCAGTTCCGGTCACTCTATTTGGAGCTCACTAGAGTGAATAAGGAACAGGAGGCTTAGCATGAAACCCACACACTCTGTATGTAACTTTGTGTTCTTACAGAAAAATTATTTAGTCTCACCATTTGCCCCTGAGCCACTGGATGCACATTTCAGACCATGCTGATGTGGAGCTGTTAGCTATGACTTGTTTCATTATTTGGTGGCCTTTTTCTGTGGCAGATGACATAAACTTTCCTATGGAGATTTATACCCCTCTTATTTCATGCTCTTCCACCAGGAATGATGCCAAAGAGAGGCCTTGATGTGTCAGCTTGTGAGATTTTCCGTTTCTACAAACTGATTCCAACTAAAAGCCTGATTGAGCCCATCTCCATGATTGTGCCTCGACGGGTAAGTTAATGTCAGGTCATATTCATACCTGGGGTAAATATCAGTAGAAAAATGAGGGAAGTGCCTCCTCTCTATGACTTTTGGGGGAAGAAGAGTAGGTAGAACAAGGGATTTTCTTTCTTCTGCCACAAGAGGCAAAACTGGTCAGTTTCTAGGGCAGTCCTGCCGACCAACCCTCTCTGGGTAACTCAAGAGTTCGGTCTCTGTTTAATGGCTGACTTTCTAAGGCATGCTGCCTAGTCAGCTTGCTGGCTGTAAACTTCCTTAGTGGCATATGTTTGACTTAATTACAAAAGAGAGAGGGATTTGAGATGATCCGTGAAGATGGATGACAAGAAAACCTCCTTGTGAAAGGAAGAATAATCACTCTGGGAAAATGGCAATGATGGGTTCCCAGGCTCTATCCAGTGGGTACAGTTGGGTTACAGATAGTTATCCTGCAGCATGTAAGCATGACCCATGGCAGTGAAAATGATGTAAAAGTAAGTCTCAGCACTGGTGTCATGAGAGAATGAAACAGGTCATGAATTTGGTAGCTCCCATGTGACTGTGTGAGCAAAGGTACAGGGCAGATGTCAGCACTGTGCTCTCTACTTCCAGAAACATGGGAGGGTATGAGTGCCTTATATTCAGAGAGGCAGCAGAGCTAATGCTCATTGCAACTGCCAATGAGGTATCTTCATCCAGCATTATCTCCTTGCTCAGTTTCTGTCAGCTCATGATCAGCTGATGATTTGTGACTTGTGTCTATCCTTTGCATCCACTTATGCATCCTCAGGAGCACTGATTTCTTAGGAGCTGGGTTAGCCTGTGTCAGCCTCCCTCAGTTTGTTGTCTGGACGTGCAAACACCTTACTGGCAGGAATTAAATTAGGCCTTTAGATGCAATTCTTCTGAGCTGGGGTGAGGAGGAAAGAGGTTCAGGACAGGTGAGAAGATTTAATGTCCCTGCTGGTGAGTGCTCATGGCACTCCCTGTGCTGAAGTGGAATAAACTTTTTTTCTCCACCACAATTCATTATGGCTGCTCTAAGCCAAAACTTCACCGACATAGTTACTCTGGACTTCTGTTTTCTTGCAGTCAGAATCATACCAGGAAGACATCTACCCGTTGACGGCAGCAGCCCAGCCAGCACTGACAGCACAGCAGTGGCTGAACGGAATTAACAAAGGTCAGCACATGGAGAGTTCCCCAGCCCTTCATCTCCCCAGGGCTTGGGTAAGCTGCTGCCAGGTTTCTGGCCTGTTAACTGCCAGAGAAATAGGAAAGGAGGAAAAGGAGGTGGCTGTAAATTCTGGAAGCTGCTCCAGTCAAGTGCCACCATGTTTATCCCTGCAGGTTTTTTGAATTAATTGCTTACAGCTGTTTTCTGGGTGTGGTTTTTGAGTGCTAATTTGTCACCTGCCTCCCACCCTAGGGCCTCTCTTGGTATCCTTGAGACCAGGCTCTGGAGCTGCGAATTCTCTACCACAGTTTCCTGAGCCAGAGCCACTCATGAAAACTACTGACCTGAGCCAGCAACAGGGCTGGGGAGGAAGGATGCCACTGGAGGAAAAACAGAAGCCAAGTGGGATTGAAGGTGGCAGAAAACAGCTGAAAGTGGAGGAGAAATTGCCAAAAAATGAGCAAATGTGCCTCTCCAATGGCTTTGACATATTTGAGTGTCCACCACCCAAAACTGAAAATGAGGTATGAATGTCTGGGCTGAAGGGTTGGGGCAGCTGGGGAAGCCCAAAGCCAGCTGGCAAAAGGATGCTCTTCATAAGGTCACAGAATTTGGGAAAGGTTTATTTTGCAGACCTGGGTCAGTGCAAGCTCTTTGCTCCTTGTGGAGGCAGAAGATCTGCATGCCCTGGCTGCAGCATGGGAAGCAGAAATGTGACCCAGCAGCACCACAGCTGAGGGGGTCTGGAAAGGAGGAAGCAGTCAGCCTTCCCACTTCTTAGGCACTCTTGTGGCACAGCCCTGCCTGGTGCCTGCCTGGTGCCAAGGATATCTTTGCGATCTCCAGGTTCTGGAGAAGAGAAGGAGGTTTATGCTGTATAATTCTTCTATAAGAGCTGCACTCAGTGAGCCTGGTGAGGCACCAGGGATCACTGTGGAAGGAGTGGGTATACCCTGCTCCCTTGGACCATGGCATATTCATGTAGTCTTAAGTGCCTAACTATTGTGGACCCTGATGTGGGAGAGGTGCTGGTTCTGCCCCTGCCTCAGCAGCTTACTGCTGGGGGGACAACTTGACACGGTAGTGCCTTTTAGGTGGGCTGCTGGTTGCAGCCTGCACCTGGGAATGGCTCCAGAATAGGTCCTGGCAGCCCTGTGATCTGTGTTCAGTCATGGCCGATCACCTCCCTGTATAGTAACCAAAGTTGGGACAGTGGTAGATATGTGTGATTTGCCTGCTTCTCATCACTGGCAGGACTGGAACATTTTCAAGTACATAAAGTGTGTTTTCTTTTAGGAACCCTTCAAGGTTCCCTTTTCATCTCTGCAAGAATTTAACATCTGCAGCTTGATAGGGCAGGAATTTCCATATCTGAACTTCCCTGTGCTGTGAAAAAGGATATTTTTCTACATGTTTCTGAGCTGGCACCCCCAGGTTACAGCAGCAGCCCTTACAGAGCTGGGTGCTATGCTGCATGTATAGTGAAAAGCCATGCTAGTCCCAGCTGGAGAGGACAGAGCATGATCAACAGGAAAACTTGAAGAGAAGTAAAAGAACTTGGTCAAGGTCAGAGAAGGAGATGTGGCAGACCTAAGAATTTAGACTCCAGATACTCTCTATATCTAGGCTCTCTTTGAGTGAGAGTGAGTGAGTGAGTGAGTGAAGGCTATTTTTTTCCTGATCTTTTCCATTGAATTGTGCAGGTGTAGCATTACTAAGTAGTGCTGAGAAAAACCTGCAGTCATAGCCCAATCTAGTGGGCAACAGGACCACTGCTGGTGTTCAGTCTGTTGGTTGAAGGCCTCTTCCTTAGATGCTGTTTCTCTCAGAAGTGATGTGACAGGACTGGTGGCATTGTCAGGCTAAACCTGTGTTTTCTTAACTTAAAGAAAACATATGCCCTAAAAATGTGTCTTTTCTTACAGCTTTTGCAGATGTTTTACCGGCAACAGGAAGAAATCCGTAGACTACGTGAGCTGGTAAACCAGAGAGATGTCCAAATTAAACAGCTGGAACTGGAGCTCAGAAACCTCTGCACAGACACAGGCAATTACTGAGGGTGATGGCCTGCAGCTCTTTGCACCTCTGGCAACTGGAGGAGACTCCAGTTCCTGCAGATAACTCCTGCTAGGGTTTTTACTGGGGGAAAAATTGATACTTCAGGCAGCATGGACTTCCCTGGCTTGTGGCAGTCACATTTCCCTAATCATCACCAGTTATTGATGGATTTGCTGCGCTTCTTCAGGCTCCCCTTGCTTGCCCACTCACTGATGTCAGAAGCTCATGTATTAATGCTAGTGAGAGACTTTGGAAAATCTTACTTGTCTGGTCCTGGAGAAGCTACGTGTTAAGCTCTAGGAACAACCTGTTTTGCTGCCCCTCCACATGACAGGAGGATGAGAGACTGAAGGCAGCTGCCGGCTTCTTTTCCTATCCTGGGGCCCAGCAGTGTGGCTCCTGTGGCTGCTGTCCTCTTGCCTTGGGAGTCCACTCTGCAGCTGAGTCTCAGAGGCACATCTAGCTCCACAGTGATCCTCATGTACCCCTCTCAACTCACAGCTTGGTCCTGCACCCAGGTGGCTAGGCAAAGCTGTGGCTGCCCTGACCTTGTGCTGGGGATAGTCCCGCTCTGAGCGGGAGACTGCACTGAGGGTGCCAAGGGCCAGCACTTTTGTGATGGGTAAAGGAGAGCTGGTGTTGGAGGTCCTACTTTAAAGGGGCAATGGTTTGGGCTAGTTCTCATCAGAGAAGCTGCAGAAGTCTCTGTGTCCTGTGAGTCAGTGGCCTTCTTTCCCTCCTTCTGCCAAAGACTAGCTGCAGTCAAGTGGGGGTCATCAGACAAATGAGGACAACATTTAAAGCTGCACAGTATTGACAAGTGGGGGAATTTGCCAAGAGGGTTTAAAAGGATGTGGGGAAGTTGGACCCCCAACCCACTGCAGACCTTTCAGCAATGGTGCTAGAAGTGTTGTGTCAACCACAGGAAGATCACAGGGCCGTGGCTGGTCATGAACAGCCTTCCATGGTTGCTGGAGTATTGCTTGTCCTTGTGCCTGCGGCTGCTGCTTCCTTTGCTCCCAGGTGCTGGTGACTTGTCTCATCTTTGCACCCATCTACAGCTGCAGGATCCCTCTTCCCAACTGTGTTGCCTAGCCCCTGCATCTTCCCAGGTTGCTCTGTCTCCCTGCAGCCCTGCAGCCACATTGATCTGTGCCCTTCAGCACCAGCTCTCTAGGTCACTGCTAGACCTTATGGAGATGTCTTAAACCCAAGCAGAGCAAGCAGCCTCTGTTTAACCTGTAACTGCATCTCTGTTATAGCACATAGAAATGAATACTATGCCTTGCTAGTTCCCAGAAGCTTACTGATTTCCAAAAATCTGAAAGAAAAAAAACCCACCAAAAAACCAACCCCAAACAAATTTTTAAAAGATCTCAATTTTCAGAAATTCCCTTAGCAAGGGAACTAAACGCGGTGCACTGCCTGTGCTCATGTGAGATGCTCCTCTGGTTATCTCTGTCAGGAATAGCCAACAGGGTCTTACGGCACTAAATGCTCTTATGTGAGAATCACAGAAAAACTTTGTTGTCCCATTTGCTCTGCTACAATCACTTAATCCAGTTATCAAAAAAATGTTGTTCATTTCTAAGTAGCAACAGATGTGGGTGTGAAAAACCCCACAAATATTCCTGTTTCTTTCTGCAGCTTTACAGGGAGGGGGTAGTTGTTCAAGTTTTCAGGAAGAGTCCTTCAGCATCAGTCACTTATTTAACATGACTCTTTTTATAAAAAATAATATATTAACAATACAGTTGCTGAAACAAACTTCAATTCATTTCAGATCCTCTAGAATGGACTTTCCTGTGTCCTGGGAACACCCTGCAGTGTACAGTTACATGCAAAAGCAGCTCACCCCAGAACTTTAATCTAAACATGTGAACCTTACACCAAAAGTAGTCAGGCTCTCTCACCAAAGAGAAGAGCTATGTTAAGAAATCACAAAGCTCGCGGTTTTTGAGCCATGTCAAACACGCCTGACACCTTCAAAATTCAAAGCCATTTTCACAGAGGGTAGCCCCAGGGATATGACACTGTTTTTCAAGCGATCATTATCAGAAGGAGAGCACTTGGCCTGGCCTCAGCCGTGATAAGACACATCCTCGTCACCATGTATGTTTTACTTGCTGCATATTTTTTTGCTTATTTTTCATACAGAATAAATTATTTAAATTATTTTGAAGTTAAAGTAATTTTTCCAGGGGATTTTTAAATCCTCTAGGGGACTGTTTCTTCATTAGCCTATGACTGACTAGCATAGAGAATGCTTGGCCACTATGGTTCTTATCTTAGGGTTGTGTTGATTTCAGCATTTCTGGAAAAGAGGTTGCTTTCATTTAGGCTTTGCTGGAAACATTTGATAAGGTGAGATTATTAATTAAAATTTCTTCTTTAGACAGTATGCCTGTAAAATCATAGACTGTGAAATGCATTTCAATTTGGAGCTCAAATGCAATCCAAAAAAAAAGGAGGAAATGGAGTTACACATTAATGACCTGTGCCTAAATACTCTTAAATGATCATTTTAGCAGTTTCTAAAACTCCTAACAGCTTTGTAAAAAACTGTAAAACATGGGGATAAAACCGAATTTGTGCAATGAAAAGCAAATATAACTGAATAATAAATATATTTAGAGTTCTACTTTTTGATACATGCAAGGTTGTTGTTTTCTTGTTATTGTATAGATGAAGTGACTGAAACTTAAGCCGAGTCATGGTCAGAAAGAAGTATCACCTACTGTCTCTTTTACTTGCCTTACATTAGTAGGCAAGTTGTACGCAGTCTTATGCACATGGGCCTGTCTCTTTACATCTTTCCCATTTGCCCTTGATGCCTCAAAGGGGTGGCCATTTCAAACTGTTCTCAGCTAAATTGCTGTGTATGTGGTCTTGAGTAAACTCAGCCCTCCTGGAGATGCATACTGCGTGGTGAGGTGTTTCCTGCTGTCTTGCAGTCCTGCCGCTTCTCTTGTGCAATATGCTCTGACCAGTCTCTAACCAGATATTCCTCATGAGGAAGGTTTAATGTATTATTACCAGATTTGCTTATTTGAAGACATTTGTTGTTAGACAGGATTTTGATTTAGCAGAGTGAAGCAGCATTGACAATGCAAGCACAATATAGCAGCTGCAGCCTCCAGCTGGATCACAGTACAAACGATATTCCCATTACTGGTCTCTATACTCTTGCCGTCATGATGCTGGGTATCTCCAATCACCAGCAAGAAATATGTGGTCTGAAGCCAGCTGAAGTCCATAGCTAAGTTAATTTTGTTGTTTTTTTTGATTTTATTATGATTCCCACTAGCATGGTAGCAGTGGTGAGAACCTGAAGAACCATTGCCTGTGTCCATGTCCTCTGAGCCGTCTTCCACTACAAGGGGTTTGTTGATCAGTCACAGCTTTGGGCATGGAAATGTTCATGGCTGCATTCATGATATGAGTTGTAAAATTTTTTAAAAACATGTATTTTAGGCCAGTGTTCGGAACAAAAAAGGGTGGAAACTTTTGGAGAAAGTCTGTGCTGGGAACTCTGTGCAGCAGCCATGCAATCATCCTGTCGTGTAAGGGGCCTTGTGCTGGGAAGGGTGGCTGGGCAGGTACTGTGTCGCTCCTCAAGGGCTGACACAGACACACTGCTGTGAGCAAAGCCTAGGAAAAGGCAGCAGTGGGCAGGTCAGTGTGGGAGGCAGAGAAATGG